ACGTTTTTCGCGTAGACTAAAAAGTAGAAAATAACTTTTATTCTTGGTTGTAAAGAATTTGGTTTTAAATTTTCAGATTATATTTAATAAATTTTTATATCCTAGTCAATATTGTTCACAAAGTTTCGAATAAGTGCACTTTGATCTTATCGTATAACTCAACAACTTAAAAACGTGGGCGCATTAATTTAAGTTTATCATAAAGTATTGATTTCACATAAACTTATTTCTCCTCTTATAATGCGCCCACGTTTTTAAGTTGTTGAGTTATACGATAAGATCAAAGTGCACTTATTCGAAACTTTGTGAACAATATTGACTAGGATATAAAAATTTATTAAATATAATCTGAAAATTTAAAACCAAATTCTTTACAACCAAGAATAAAAGTTATTTTCTACTTTTTAGTCTACGCGAAAAACGTAGTTTTTTAAAAAGTTTTTTTTTATAAAGTATTTTTGCTCATAAAAATGTTTGGATGTTTTATTTGTATTTGTTTTAAGCACTAGAATATTTATGCAAAGTTTCAATCCATTTTTATAAACCCTCGAAGAAAAAAGTGACAAAATTGATTTTGACTAGGGTCGCCCCTAGTCCAAAATTAAAAATGTATTTCCTACTTGGTTCTTTGTTAAAAAAAATGTTTGGATGTTTTATTTGTATTTGTTTTAAGCATTAGAATATTTATGCAAAGTTTCAATCCATTTTTATAAACCCTCGAAGAAAAAAGTGACAAAATTGATTTTGACTAGGGTCGCCCCTAATCCAAAATTGAAAATGTTTTTCCTACTTGGTTCTTTGCTCAAAAAATTTTTTGGATGTTTTATTTGTATTTGTTTTAAGCACTAGAATATTTATGCAAAGTTTCAATCCATTTTTATAAACCCTCGAAGTAAAAAGTGACAAAATTGATTTTGACTAGGGTCGCCCCTAGTCCAAAATTGAAAATGTATTTACTACTTGGTTCTTTGCTCAAAAAAATGTTTGGACGTTTTATTTGTATTTGTTTTAAGCACTCAAATATTTATGCAAAGTTTCAATCCATTTTTATAAACCCTCGAAGAAAAAAGTCACAAACTGATTTTGACTAGGGTCGCCCCTAGTCCAAAATTGAAATTGTATTTCCTACTTGGTTCTTTGCTCAAAAAAATTTTTGGATGTTTTATTTGTATTTGTTTTAAGCACTCAAATATTTATGCAAAGTTTCAATCCATTTTTATAAACCCTCGAAGAAAAAAGCCACAAATTGATTTTGACTAGGGTCGCCCTAGTCCAAAATTGAAAATGTATTTCCTACTTGGTTCTTTGCTCAAAAAAATGTTTGGATGTTTTATTTGTATTTGTTTTAAGCACTAGAATATTTATGCAAAGTTTCAATCCATTTGTATAAACCCTCGAAGAAAAAAGTGACAAAATTGATTTTGACTAGGGTCGCCCTAGTCCAAAATTGAAAATGTATTTCCTACTTGGTTCTTTGCTCAAAAAAATGTTTGGATGTTTTATTTGTATTTGTTTTAAGCACTAGAATATTTATGCAAAGTTTCAATCCATTTGTATAAACCCTCGCAGAAAAAAGTGACAAAATTGATTTTGACTAGGGTCGCCCCTAGTCCAAAATTGAAAATGTATTTACTACTTGGTTCTTTGCTCAAAAAAATGTTTGGATGTTTTATTTGTATTTGTTTAAAGCACTAGAATATTTATGCAAAGTTTTAATCCATTTGTATAAACCCTCGCAGAAAAAAGTGACAAAATTGATTTTGACTAGGGTCGCCCCTAGTCCAAAATTGAAAATGTATTTACTACTTGGTTCTTTGCTCAAAAAAATGTTTGGACGTTTTATTTGTATTTGTTTTAAGCACTCAAATATTTATGCAAAGTTTCAATCCATTTTTATAAACCCTCGAAGAAAAAAGTCACAAACTGATTTTGACTAGGGTCGCCCCTAGTCCAAAATTGAAATTGTATTTCCTACTTGGTTCTTTGCTCAAAAAATTTTTTGGATGTTTTATTTGTATTTGTTTTAAGCACTAGAATATTTATGCAAAGTTTCAATCCATTTTTATAAACCCTCGAAGTAAAAAGTGACAAAATTGATTTTGACTAGGGTCGCCCCTAGTCCAAAATTGAAAATGTATTTCCTACTTGGTTTTTTGCTCAAAAAAATTTTAGGATGTTTTGTTTGTATTTTTTTAAGCACTAGAATATTTATGCAAAGTTTCAATCCATTTGTATAAACCCTCGAAGAAAAAAGTGACAAAATTGATTTTGACTAAGGTCGCCCCTAGTCCAAAATTAAAATTGTATTTCCTTCTTGGTTCTTTGCTCAAAAAAATTTTAGGATGTTTTGTTTGTATTTTTTTAGACACTAGAATATTTATGCAAAGTTTCAATCCATTTGGATAAACCCTCGAAGAAAAAAGTCACAAACTGATTTTGACTAGGGTCGCCCTTAGTCCAAAATTGAAATTGTATTTCCTCCTTGGTTCTTTGCTCAAAAAATTTTTTGGATGTTTTATTTGTATTTGTTTTAAGCACTTAAATATTTATGCAAAGTTTCAATCCATTTGGATAAACCCTCGAAGAAAAAAGTGACAAAATTGATTTTGACTAGGGTCGCCCCTAGTCCAAAATTAAAAATGTATTTCCTACTTGGTTCTTTGTTAAAAAAAATGTTTGGATGTTTTATTTGTATTTGTTTTAAGCATTAGAATATTTATGCAAAGTTTCAATCCATTTTTATAAACCCTCGAAGAAAAAAGTGACAAAATTGATTTTGACTAGGGTCGCCCCTATTCCAAAATTGAAAATGTATTTCCTACTTGGTTTTTTGCTCATAAAAATGTTTGGATGTTTTATTTGTATTTGTTTTAAGCACTAGAATATTTATGCAAAGTTTCAATCCATTTTTATAAACCCTCGAAGAAAAAAGTGACAAAATTGATTTTGACTAGGGTCGCCCCTAGTCCAAAATTAAAAATGTATTTCCTACTTGGTTCTTTGTTAAAAAAAATGTTTGGATGTTTTATTTGTATTTGTTTTAAGCATTAGAATATTTATGCAAAGTTTCAATCCATTTTTATAAACCCTCGCAGAAAAAAGTGACAAAATTGATTTTGACTAGGGTCGCCCCTAGTCCAAAATTAAAATTGTATTTCCTACTTGGTTCTTTGCTCAAAAAAATGTTTGGATGTTTTATTTTTATTTGTTTTAAGCACTAGAATATTTATGCAAAGTTTCAATCCATTTGCATAAATCCTCGAAGAAAAAAGTGACAAAATTGATTTTGACTAGGGTCGCCCCTAGTCCAAAATTGAAAATGTATTTGCTACTTGGTTCTTTGCTCAAAAAAATGTTTTAATGTTTTATTTGTATTTGTTTTAAGCACTAGAATATTTATGCAAAGTTTCAATCCATTTTTATAAACCCTCGAAGAAAAAAGTGACAAAATTGATTTTGACTAGGGTCGCCCCTAGAATATTTATGCAAAGTTTCAATCCATTTTTATAAACCCTCGAAGAAAAAAGTCTGCTCAAAAAAATTTTTTTTCATCCAAAGTTTAATTTAAAAAAAAATCACAGTGAACTTTTAATTTGAAAAATTCGTAAGAAAGGAAACTTTTTTGCTTTTTCTGAAGCAACGGCTGTTCCTACCTTGCCCAAAAACAATACAGCTCTTCTATAGAGCAGCACGGATCAAATGTAAAAAACTAGAAGCTTCTACAATGTCTCGTTTTTGAGATTTCTTGCTGATTAACTTGCTTGCTTGCTTACAGAAAGCGTATTGAAATCTGTTTTTTGCAAAAGATGTGAAATTCCAGGCACAAACTTTTTATCTCTGAATATTTTAAGCTGTCTTGCTCCATATCCTCACCAAATTTGAAAAACTGATTTTTCAATCAGAACAAAACCAATGGATTCACACTTGAATACGGTGTGAATATACTTACATTTTTAACGAATCAAATTCTCAAATTCTATGGATCAAAAAATTCACAAAAAATAAAGAAAAGTAAAAATGAATTGTTCATTACGAGTATACAGAAATATAAGATTCGTCCTGCTCCTGATCTATCTTATTACTTTCTCATATACGTAAAAAAAAAGTAGCGTTGATCGAAACCCAGCTGGTGCTAGAGTAAAATTGAGAATGTATGAAGTCGAAATAACTTCAGTCATCTTCGATTTTCTGATTGATTTCTTTTAAATCGCTAATTCAAAATGCTTCTAAAAGTGCTATAAACATAAGCTGCTACATTTAAGATTCAGTAAATATTTAGTGATAAAGATTTTTTATGATGTTCAACTTTAAGGCACTAGGTTCAATAATAGAGACTTAATAAAGAAAAAAAAATTTGAAATAGTTTCAAATAATTTTCAAGGATTATAAGTCCAGAAAAATGTATCTGGACTTATAATCGCACTGGGAGATTATAAGTAAAATTTATAAATTTTCTGGAATTATAAACCACACGTAAGGTTTATAAGTCCAGATATAAAATGTACCTGGACTTAAAAACCTCTCGTGCAGTTTATAATTCCAGCTGTATTTGTACCTGGACTTATAAACTGCACGTGAGGTTTTTAAGTCCAGGTGCAATTTGTATCTGGACTTATAAACCTTTAGTCACTTTTATTTTCTGGACTTATAATTTTCTGTGCACGATTTTTGTATCTGGACTTATAACCCAGCATCCAACAATTTTATTCTTGACCTATTGTAATTAAATTGCTTAACTTAAGTTTAAATTTAATGTATGAGTCCCATTCCCGATATTCAACTGTTTTGAGTGCCTTTCAATGGCTGGTAATTTTAACTGTTCAAGCTTCTTTAATTTGTCCAACATTATGAGAAACTTTCCACTTCAAATTTCATAAAGCCGTTAGAATACAAAATTTCAAAGAAAAATGGAGCGAGTCTATTTTAAAAGCTTTCAGTTTTAACAGTTTTTTTTTCTGTCAACGGCAATCAGAAAAATTGTTAAATTAGCTTAATTAACGATGGCACCTCCGTTTTGGATCCATTGTAATCTGTGCGGTGCACTTCTAAGCAGTGATAATAAGCACTTTTTGCTGTCATGCTCTCATATTGCTTGCAAAGACTGTTTAAAGCAAACTGGTGAGTTTATTGAACTGTAAACCTTAATTAAATGGTAATTGGGAACTTTTATGTAGCTGGTAAGAAGTGCCCAGCATGTAAGGCTGACGTTCGATATGAAGACATGTCTAAACTTCCTGAAAAGCTAAAGAACAACTTCCATCCAAACATCCAGAACTTATTTCAAGAACCGTCGAAAATCATTGATTTTCAACAGTCCCACGCCCGTGATATTGCTAGAAAAACTCGTGATTATGTAAATAATAAGGCTGGCTAATTTATAGTCGATCCATTAAGCTTTTAATCCATTTTTAGAAGACAAAGTATAGTCAGGCACTGTCAATTTATGAGAAAGAAAAGGTAGAAGTAATGAAGATGAAAAAGCAACTTGATGGCTATGTCCATCAACGAAAATTAATGCAAGAGAAGCTGAAAGAAGTGTACTTGCGAAATAAAATGAAGAAACAGCACGAAATCTATCGTAATCCTGCAAATGTGACCCTATCTTCTGATTTTTCTACTGAAAAAGCACGAAGCTCACTCAGAACATCAGGCACATCACAGTCTAGGTCGAACTTTTTCAACCAAAGCTCGCCAATAGTACAAGGATTTAATTCACGGTAAATACTCATTATTTAAATCCAACAGTTTAATCCTAGGATTTATTTTAATCAAACGATTTATCTTAATTCTTCAGCTCAAACGACTTCTTCGATAGCCATCCATCAACACCTCGTAAGAAGAAGCTCGATCATACTCAGTCTAGTCGTAAACCATTCTATTCATAAAGTTATCGCTCTATTAAATACACTAAAATTCACATTGGATTTTCACAAGGAAGTTTCGAATATTCAAAATTCGTTATTTTAATATGACATTTGTGTGACTCAATTTGTAGCGACCCTAGCTGGGCATTAATAATTTCTCCCGCCAATATATAAAATCAAAATATTTAATTAATTTGTATTAAACACAATGAAATCAGACAATATAGATTCATTAGAATCACTCAAAGACTACATAGGTAGCCAGGACAATTCAAAGAGTTTCGTGTACTTTTCTAAAATTCCAGATATTTGCAAAACTGAAAAATGCATGTTGGGAGGTAAATAAAGTTAATTAAAGCAATGTTATGACTTATTAAAAGATCCAGTTAATATTTGAATTAACTTTGTGCAAAAAGAACAAGTTCCAGTTAACATCCAGACCAATTTCAATCAGTTAAACATTCATGTTTGATTTAATAAGATCCAGCTATATTTCTATTAATTACAGTTGACGAGGCAGGACGTGGGCCAGTTTTGGGACCTATGGTCTATGGAATCTCATTCTGTCCAGTAGATAAAAAGTCAATTCTTAAAGATCTCGGATGTGCTGACTCAAAACAACTTACAGAAGACCAACGAGATGAGATCTTTGTGAATAGTAACAATAAAGATTATGCAACGGAATCAATTGGATGGGCAGTCGATGTCATATCCCCAAATGAAATCAGCACAAGCATGTTAAGAAGAACAAAGCGAAGCCTTAATGAAGTTTCAATGGAATCAGCTATAAGTTTAATTAAGAAGGCACTGGAACTAGAAGTGAACGTTACTGAAGTTTATGTAGACACAGTCGGTCCACCCGAGAAATATCAAGCCAAATTGCAAGCTATATTTCCTGATATTAAAATAACTGTAGCCAAAAAGGCTGATTCCATTTATCCGATTGTATCTCTTGCATCAATCTGTGCTAAAGTGTCACGTGATCATGCATTAAAAGTCTGGACATTCCGAGAAGGTATTGAAGTCCCTAGTGATGGATTTGGAAGTGGATATCCTGGTGATCCCGTCACTAAACGATTTTTAAAGAATTTTGAGCCACTTTTTGGATATCCTCGAATTGTCAGATTTAGTTGGTCTACAGCATCAAATGCATTGGACGAGAATCGAGCTTATACTGTCGAATTTGAAGAAGAGGAAGAACTGAACGAAAAGAAAGTCAAATTGGCAAGCAAGAAAATGACGTCATTTTTTAAGACTGAAGTTCCTGTAAAAAAATTTAAGAGACACAACTTTTTCAAAGAACGATGTTTAGAGGATGTTATTGATTTTTAATTTTAAGTTTCTTTATTTAAATTTGTGTATCCATTTTATTAGTAATACTCATGCTGTTTTCAACCATTACTTCCTGTCTATTTAATTCTGCTATGTCTTGTTGCTTTTTCATAAATCCAGAGAAGTTTGAAGATATTTTTTGCTTACAGAATGGACATTCACCAACGGCTACGCTGAGCACTTTATAGCTATTAATATTTAAATGCTGATTAAGGCAGCTAGCATGAAATAATTGATCACATCGAGGATTTTCACAACAAACGATTGGACTCTCATTCTGTTCATTATGCTGACACAAGCAGATCGAGCATTCATCGCTGTCTTCAATTCTGTTTGTGTACGGGAACTCTAAAATCTTAAGTTTTATGCACAACTTCTGATAAATGTCTGTCTCATCTTCATCATAGTAGCTGTTTGTATTGTATGCCTCATTTAGTTCTTTTATAACATGATCTTTGCCATAGAATGTTACATTGAAATTGTTAACATCCAGTGGATCCAGAAACTCAATTTTAATAAATGCAAACTTGCTGTATTTTATTAATCTCCAGTTTATGCTCATTAGCTTTTCATAAGGCTCTAATACTATGCAGTTCAGATCGAGGATATATAGTGACTCAAAGTAGTTCTTAAGATTATTGATTAACAGCAAAAATCCTTCAACAGCACTTTTTAAGCTCGTGGAACTGCCAATTTTTAACAAGCTTGATGCAGTCTTTTCAGGAAAGTTGTGTGACATTATAATCCAATTATTTTCAGCATAACTTAGTTCCATTTCAGCATTTATGTCATACTTTAATTGTTTACTTATTTTAATTTGTGTGTAATTTGATTTTACAGCCACTTCTATGCTTTTTGGATATGATTCCTTTAGTGACTTGATGTCATTTAATGTCTGTATTAACTTACGAATGTTTATATTCTCAATTAATGAGCTGTTATTTCTCAAATCCATGATGCATGAAATTTGAAAATTTATTTGAGTCCCAGTAATATAAATTCAAATTAAAAACGACAGTTATTTTTAAGAGTTTAAAACAAAAGAAATATTTTTATTTATTGCAAAATAATTGAGATCATTGATTTCTTTGGTATAAAATAGTAAATTAAGTAAGTACGAATGTTGAGTACGTTGTTTAGAAACGTAATTTTTGGAAGAACCATTTGTTCTTGCCTTGCTTAAAGCGATCTTCTAACTTCATACGAATTTGGAATGAAGCCTTTTTGCGTTTTATTGGATCTCTCAAATCCTTAATGCCGTATTTCTGATCAAGTGTCACGTCTGATACGCTGTAACGTGTTGGCATTAAATGATTATAATTGATGCATTTAATGAATGGCTTTATACGTGTATTCTTCTTAATCTTATCCTTTCGCATACGACGAACAACACGTCTTGGATAACGTGCAATTCCAGCTACAAGAGCTTGTGCAAAAGGCTTCTCATTCGTGCCATCATCAACTGTTTTTAATATTACAGCTTTTCGTCCAGCATAGCGTCCACTAAGAACGATTACAACCTATTTAAAATACATAATTAATCATTTGTTTATTGATTTTCTCATTCCGTGCCTTACTTTGCCTGCTTTCATTATTTTCCCCATTTTCGCGAGTTTATTTTAAAATTCTAGAATGGAAAACCACTTAATTTAAGCAACTTTGATGTTCTTCAAGTATATTAAAGTCTTTACCTTCAGAATAAGTACCAATTATAGTCTAAAAGTAGCTATAAGTAAGTTATTTTAAGGAAGTTTCAGAAACTTCGTGGTTCTTGGTTAGACAGCAGAAATCGAAAAGAACTTTTAAACTTCCGTGCGTATAACTTTAAGGATATTTTGTCTTCCTTGCGTAGAATTTGTCCTTTTTTGTAGAGTTGCCTTAACTTTTCAGCCGAATTCACAAAAAGACAGTTGAAAAACGTAAACAATCGATAATAATTCATTTAATTATGCTCAATTGCCTTTATTTGTTATGTTAAGTTTGTAAAATAAGTGAAAGGAACATGGATTTCAACATACGACAAGATTATATGCGACAGAAACTTGATTTACTAGGATATTCATCACATTCACTGCCACTTTCAGCAGTTCCTTTAGTTTCTGCTGTTTTAGATGACTTAATAGCAACAACAGAGAGTTTAAAGAAGGCAAAAGATGAGCTTGGACAGTTGTTGGAACAGAAAAATGCTTGGGAACTTGGAAATGAGGTTTGTTGTGGTCAAATTTAATTAAATTCCTTCACTAATTAAGCTCGTCAACTTTAGGTCTACAAATGCGACAATTCTAAGCTGCTACATGAAGTCAACCGACTAAAATTGGAACTCCTGAATAAAGAAAAGAATGTCCAAATCGAGAATGCTGGTGAGTTTTAATCATTTCTCTTAATTAACATCCATTCGATCATTTTGTACAAATTTCTTATAGGATTAAAGAGGAAAATTAGAAGCCTTGAAGCTGACAGGAAGTCACTTGATGAAAAATGCTCAGAACTAAATCACATGATTACTTTATTCAGTCAGTCTGACAAGTCTAAAGGAAAGAAGTCACTAAGGCCATTCGTTTCGACTGTTCGAAAGAATGCATCATTTCCTGATATATCCTCAGACTCTAAAGAACCGGCTTGTAGCTGTACATCAGCCAAGTCGAGTGCTCCAATTAATAAAAGATCAGAAAGAGAACTAGAAAAGCTTAAAAACGAATTAAAACATGCTGAAGATGTAATTGAAGTTTTAAGGAAGCATGAAGCTGAAAAGGAACGCGAAATTCAGAGACTTAGTGCCTTATTTGTTGGTGGTAGACCAGTTAATGCTCTCGCACGTGATTGTTGCTATAAAGATGTGTCTAAAATTACAGAGGACATCAGTCATCTTCAAAAGGATAAAATCGAATTAACTACAAGACTAGCTGATAATGAGGAACGGTACGAAAAGCTATTCCAAAAATGGAAGATCCAAAAGTGTACAATTAAGAATCTTGAAGATCAGTTAAAAGAAATAACAGAAGCAGCACTTTATGTCGAAAAGGAAGCAAATATGAGGATTAAGAACCAAAATCGAAACATTGCGGAACTGAAAGAAAATCTTAATTCCAATGGAAGTTCAGTGCCTCAAGAATTAAAGGAACTAAAGCGTACAATTAAGGATAAAACAAAACAGGAACAAAAACTGCTATTTGAAATTGAATACCTAAAAAATAAGCACAATGAGCAGGAACAGCAATGCTCTAATAAGAATTCAGAAATAATAACAGAGCTGATTAAAGAACGTGATATATTACAGAATAGACTTAAAATGATGTGCGAGAATCAGCCAAGAGATCCACAAAACCATCACACAAATCATTGCAGTAATGCAAGCTGCAATGTCCATCAGATTTATTCACAATTAAGGGAAAAGGAACAGCAAGTTTGTAAGTTACAGGATGAGCTATGCAGCATAAGAAATGAGAAAACACAAATGCATCCACATGGCATACTTACAGTTACAAATAATTTAAGACGTGCTGAATGTGAACGTGATTGTGCTTTAAATAAGGCACAATCAATGAAAATGGACAATGATGCATTAAATGACAAGATTAAAGTACTGCAAGATTGCAAGATTAGTGACAATAAGAAGATCATCCAGTTAGAGGAAACAATATCGAAATTAAAGCTTGATATTAAGGATCTCCATTCAGCCAAAACGCCTGCATTTACAACAATTAAACAGCTTCGAGAAGAGAATTGTGAGCTACAGATTAAGTTGAGGTCGTCAGATGAGGATTATAAGAAGCTCAACAATACTTACAATCAAGTTAAAATGCTCAGCCAACAGACTGAAAATGTCTTAATGAGTGTTCAAAATCAGCTTGAATTTACAAAGTGTGAGTTAAGTGAACGAGAATCACAAATATGCTGCATTAATAAATCCAATGACTGTCTTAAAGATCAAATTGAAAAGCTTTCAGCTGAAATTAGTAAAATTAAGAGCGAAAAATCGACTGTTGAACGTGAAAAGGAATTTTACATGATGACATTGGATAGAAAAAATGAGAAGCTGCATTGTGTCGAGTCTAAAATGGAATCTGTGGCTTGTTTGAAGGAATCTAATAGGATGATGAAGACACAAATTGAGTAAGTTGCAAAAAACCGTTAAATAATTTTTCAAAAAATTTCCGCTTAAATTTCAATATATTTTCAAACTTTTGAAAACCGCTAGAATTTAAATTCTTAATAGCTGTTAAATTTTTAATTATTTTTTAAAATAACCATTAGTGATCTAAACTGTGAAATCAAGCGCCTAGAATCAATTGTATGCGATACGAGAAATGAAAATCAGTGTCTGTGCAAGCAACTTGAAACAACCAAACATCACTTAACAAATGCAATTCATGAGAACGGAAGAATGGTTGATGAACTAGCAACAATTACAGCTGAGCTAAATGCGACCAAAAAGTGCCTTATTGATAGCCAGAAAGAATCAGAAGTTATTAGAACTAAATTGCAATCGTATATCCATGAAATTGAGAGAATTGATGGCTTGATAACGTTCAAGGAAGGAGAACGAAAGCAGACAATTGGTCAATATAAAGATCTCGAATGTCAATATAAGAATTTAGATCAAGAGACTTGTGAGTCAAAGAGATTAATTGCTGACTTTGAGCAGCGAATAAAGCATCTGACTGGCCAGCTACATGCTAAAGACATTGATATAGAGACACTCGAGAAACAGCTTATTGACATTTCTACAGAAGTTGAATGCATTAGAAGTGAGAATATGAAGCTACACGTCGAACTTGAAGCACAAAGGAATTTATGTGAGAAACTTGATATCCAGAAAGAAAAACAGAAGAATGAGATTCGCGAGTATCAGTTAAGCTGCAAAGAACTATTAGAAAAGAACGATAAATTACGTGAAGAGATTCTATTGATGAAGGAACTAGGGGCAGGTGACACTCACATTTCAGCATCTTATCATCCTACCATGTAGTATTAAATTATATTTCCTATTTGTTTTAAAATATTTTAATTAACTTAATAATATACATTGTGTTCAACATAAATCCAATATTTCGATTGCACCAAAATGTGTGACTTAAAAACAATTTTAATTTATATTATAACGGATTTCAAAAATTTGAGTTCGAACTGTTTTCAAAAACTTAAATAAAATTCAAAATTTTGAAAACTGTTAAGAAAATTTGAAATTTCATCGGCAATTTACAGATTATCAGTCACGTTTTATTGACTTGTAAAATTTTTTCAGAAATGAGTGCTTCCCCAGAACGTATTTTTTTATCAATAATGTCTGATTGCATTCCAATCAGAATTTTCAGATAGCCTGAACATGACAGACGATATCACTATTTCCTATAAATATGATTCAACATATTAAACTACAAGATTGATAAGAAGAATTGCGTCGGAAGTACTTCCCTATAATTTGTTATCTCTGTCTCTTAATGATGCTAAGGTAAATGGACAAATATCGTCAAATTTAGATAACAATTGCAACTATTTGCGACTTTATTCCGGGTTTTTGGTGAGTAATGGAATTGCCATTATTTATTGTATAAAAGAAAAGCACTTGAATGACAATTTATTATTGTGAAATAAGTCGTGGAACTGTAAAAACAAGAAAATAAAACATTAAAGAATAATGAAGAGTAAGTTTTGAAAATTTTAAGACATTGTAGGCATTATCTTATGTTTCATTTTCAGCTACATTAATTTTATTAAGCCTTGTTGCTTTAACTTTCGGAAAAATCATCCCAGGAAAACTAGAAGATGGCACAGTTGAGGTCGAAGCAGCACAAAACTTTAACAATTATTATCAAAATTTGATGAATCTAAACCCAAATGAACGAGAAATGCTTGGCTTGACAATGAACAGAGACTTTGCAGGATATCCAAATGATCCTATGATGGGTCAATATTCTCCAATGGATCAAATGATGATGCAAGGACAATACCCTTCTATGGATTTTATGAATTATCCAGCAATGAACATGGGAATGTATCCAGGAATGATGGGTGGAAACTATCAAAATATGGGAATGGGTGGAAATTACCCCAACATGATGATGCCAAATTTCAATTCATATCCTGGATATCAAGGAGTTGCTAAAACTAACGCATGTGGTTGTACTAGCACTTGTGGAATGCGTTGCATGTGGTGGTAAGTTCCTTCCTTTTCTTAAAACTTTTTATACATATTCACACCGCATTTAAGTGGGAAGCTCTGCATTGGGCTACTACCCGATACACTAGTTTAATTGAATAATCTTCAACTAATTTTTAATTAATTTATAGGAGCTGCACACCATGCGTTCCATGTCCAATTTGTCCAGAAGAAACAACAACGGTAGAGCAAACAACAACAACAACAACCACATTAGCTACACTCCCAACAGTTCCTCAAGAATTAGAGACTACGACCCTCCCACCTTCAAATTCATGTCCATGTGTTAGAGTTTGCCCACCTTGCCTTCCGTGGTAAGTGATTTATACAGAGTTGTAAAGGCTAACGTCGCAACTCTGGATTTATAACCTCAACATAAGTCGTGTGCGAGTGCCTATTAAAAAACCGACTGTCAAAAATTCAAAACCTCAAACGTAAACCTTCTACCTGTAAATTTTTTCTAATCGTGTATTTTTTAAGAACCGTTACCTGCAAAATTAAGTTAACGGGTTTTGAAAATTTGAAAATCATACGACGAAAAAAAAGCCGAAAAAATGAGGTTTCGAAATTTTGAAATTCGTTATTTTAATAGGCACTCGTCATGTGATTTTGAATTTAATGATTGAATTTTCTATTAGGTTCCCATGCAATCCTTGTTCCTGTCCATGCCAAGCTCCAGATAATAACACACCAGTAACAACAACGTCTACGCAAGCACCAATAAGAAACAATCCACCAAGAAATAATAACAATAACGTCATTACCAACAACAATCCAAGCAATAGAAATAACTGTCAATGTATTTGTGCTCCATGCCCACTTTGGCAAGATTGCCCACCATGTCCAAAAACATGTCCGTGCTATTAGGACTGATAACTGATACTTTAAAGACATTCCCACCGATGTGCTTAATTTAAGACAATAAAATAAAATAAAAACAGATGAAAACTATGAATAAGTATTTTTGTTCTACTCTTTAAGGCTTAATAGATATCGAAAAACAGTAAAGACATAGGTTTTTATCCGATTTTTGTTTTTTTTTTGTCGTAGCTATTTGATCTAGGTCTATTAAGCACAAGTGAAGAAACAAAGAGTTCGTGATTTCGAGAAAAAAATTATGCACCCCCCCCCCCCCCCTTTTTCAAAAATTTTTTAAGACATTTCAAGTAAGTGACCCCAAAATCAGACAATTTGTCAGGTGCCTGAAAAAACTAAAAATGGTATCAAGTTTAGATAAGACTCGTGTAAAATTTCGTGTAATGTAATTGATAGTTTTATCAGCATACCTAATAATTTTGGTATAAATAGAAGGAATCTACTGAACTTTGTAAGTTATTGAGAATAATCAGTGAAAAATGAAGCAATGTAAGTTATAACAGTTAATAATCGAGTGATTTCTTCTAATATCAAGCTTTATTGACAGTTCTTCTAGTCGCTTTACTTGTCAGTGCCGTTTTTGCTGCTCCAGCAATAGAAAATGAAGAAATCGGAATCAAATCAGCTCAATTTATGAATCCAATGATGATGATGAATCCAATGATGATGATGAGAAATCCAATGATGATGGGTATGATGATGGGATCAGGCTGTGGTAGCTGTTCTTGTATGCCTAGATGTCCAATCATTTGGATGTGTCCTCCAGTTTGTAATCCATGCTGGTAAGTTTTGAATTTTTATTGTGAAAGTCTTATACTTACTGAGTTTCTAAAGTAATTCTGAGATCCGTAAAGGAAAAATTGTAACAAAATGTAACATAGGGGGGGGGGGGGGGGGGGTCAAGAAGTATGTAACGTTCAAAATGAAAAAAATTCATACCAAAATGAATTGGGGGGGGGGGGTGGCGAAAAAAGCGTAACGTAATAAGTGAACGGCCCCTTATGACATAATGATTAATTTTTTACAGCTGTAACAATACATGTAATGAAGATCCAGCACCCGTAGAAGAAGAAGTTAAGCACGAACCAGAAATTTTGCCAATGCCTCTTCCAATCTTCCCCAATTACCCTCTTTTGGACGAAATCGCTCAGCATCTCTTAGAAAGACCCGTTGGACAAGAATATCCACCAGACATAATTGTCAAAAGACCAAGAAACTAATTGCTGGGATCCAGTCAACATCCAGTAGACTGTAATTTTAAAATTAGGAATTTGCATATTTGGAATGCTAGTTTCTTTATCAAACGCTTGTTTTAGACCATTTGTTAAGAAGTTATTGACTCATTGTTACCAATCGTTATGTTTTTAAAGATAAATAATAAATACAAGATTTTATTTGGAACCTCAAAATTTGTTGTGCTCGTGAAAGTTTTTAATTTATAAAATTTCAATGAATTTGGAGATTAAAAGTATTCATTATGGTGATATTGTGTCCATATACTCGTCTGGATTCTTATCATCATTGGGGTAAGTCCAGTTTCATGTATTTAATAGCATTTTGAGTCAAAATTAAATTTTCTCAGTTTACTTGATGATCGTGTCATTATTAATACGACTGATGGAGACTTAACTAAGCCACCGATAAAATTTAAGAACTGTCTGTTCAAAATATGCCCTGCTAAGAAGATAATATGCAATAAAAAAGCCTTTGATTGTACTAAAACGAATGATCAGAATGTTGAAATATTTTCGGATAATGACGTCATTAGTTTGTATGGGAAATGCGTTAAATATGGATCTTTAGTAAGGCTGCTTCATGTCAAATCAGAAAAGTATCTCTCAGTCTGCAAGCAAGTCCATTCATCATATGATACAGACGCCTTAAAAGCTTATTTTGATAAAAATGGAAATGAAAGTTCTTTGTTTTACGTCATGCCTTTCTATAAGCTACGATCAATTGGTGAAGACATAACTGTTGGTGATGAAGTCATTTTCAAGTCAGCCTTAGTAAACAATAAGAATCTTCATGTCAGTCAAATTGATTTGTTTGATAAAATTGGAATAAAAGAAGTCAACGTGCTTAATGCCATAACATCCTGGAAAATTTCGTTATTCCTAACTCACAGTGAGAATCAAAAGAGCTTCCTTAAAAGTGGCGATATTGTGAGATTATTTCACATTGAACAACAGAAATATCTTACAAAGGATGAATTAAATACGCTTGTATTTCTGAGAAACACTGATCGAATTCCACCGTCTACAGCTACAAGCTCAAAAGCTTTATGGGAAATTGAAGTTGTTCAGCACGATCCTTGTCGCGGTGATATTGCTCATTATAATTCACTTTTTAGATTCAAGCACCTTAATACTGGATATTATCTTGTCACGGAACTGATAGAAGCTGATGGACAGCACAGTGAAATGTTTTGGTAAACCTTACTAATGACCATAAAAGTGATATACTCAAGCATTCATTTTTTGCAGCTTGAAAGCTATTCTGGATTCTTGTGATCTTGCCTCAATTTTTGAGTTAGATCCAATATCACTTAATGATTCGGATGCTTTAATTCCACACAAAAGCTTCGTCTTATTGAAAAATGTAGCTACAAATACTTATATTAAATCTTCAAATATTCGTGTTGGAAGTGAAATAGACAAATCTGTATTCTATAAAGTAGAGTGCTCGAAAGCTAGGGACGAGAAAGAAGCTTTTCGTGTTGTTGGTGTCAATTCTGATGAGGTAAATGTGTGTCCATCAAGTAGAACGGTGACCTAACGAATTGAGTAATGTACTATATATGGGTTTTTTGTGCTATTTTGTGAAAGCAGAAAAATAACTTTTTTTAAATTTTGTGAAGTTGCCAGTTCTGAAATATGAGCATCTGAAAACGGAGCTAGGGCTGATTTTTTACTTTTAACACTTTCAACTGTAAATCTGACAGGGCTCGACGAAAACTGTTCAAACTTGGTCAGTAATTTGTGCAAATAATGTTCCTTAATCAAATAAAATAAACGAAATATTTTTATCCAGCCTTACTGCGAAAATATGGGGATTCTACCGAAAGAATAAGTTAATTTTGCACTAGGTCCTGTCGTAGAATCACCATATTTTTGCAGTAAGGCTAGATAAAAATATTTCGTTTATTTTATTTGATTAAGAAACATTTGCACAAATTACTGACCATGTTTGAACAATTTTCGTTAAGCCTTGTCAGATTTACAGTCGAAAGTGTTAAAAGTAAAAAATCGGCCCTAGCTCCGTTTTCAGATGCTCATATCTCAGAACTGGCAACTTCACAAAATTAAAAAAAGTTATTTTTCTGCTTTCACAAAATAGCACAAAAAACCCATATATAGTCCATCACTCAATTCGTTAGATCACCGTTCTACTTGATGGACACGTAAATGTAACAAATTTTTCAAATTCCAAAATTCAACGAGTTTTTATAATTCAAAAAATATGCAATTATTTTCAAATATATTTTAAGCATTATTTTTCAAACATTTTTTAACCGTTATTTCTAGATTCGCGACTTTGATTTCACAAATGAAGCATATGATTTAATGACCAATTTAACAGCAAAAATGCTTATAAAATTCAAGATAAGTGAATATGACAGAGTCCGTTTGATTTCTATCCTACAACGGCTTATTCTGTTCATTGGTGATGTTGACATTGATAACAATGGCTCGAACATCCTGCAAGTTGATATTGTTAATCCAAATAGAAAGCGACAGAAAATATTTCGTGAATTGAACATTATCACACAGATTTTCTGTATCCTCGGCTTGACATCAGACTTTGTGGATCAAAAAGGAATGCCTTCAAAGTCTTACAAATACATTTTTCAGTTATGCTATAGAATCATCAAATTAAGTCAGAAAAATTATCGAAAAAATCAGGAATTTATTGCCTGCAATTATTTCAATTTAATGCAGCAGCACATTGGCCTAGACATTCTTGCCGAAGACACAATCACAGCGTTATTGAATAACAATCAGCAACTATTGGAAAAGTTTATAACGCCGAGAGAAATAGAGACTTTTATTGATTTAATCAGAAAGAACATGTCAAAATGGAATGGCAAATATTTCGATTATCTTAGTGCTCTTTGTGTTGCGAATAATAAAGCCTTGCCAAGGACACAAGAGATGATTTTTAGTTTAATAACGAAGAACTTTAACTCATGCATTTTATTGTCAATTAAGAATATTAATGATAAGGAAGTCGGAGAGAAATTGGACACAGATTGTGATATTGAGAATATAATTATTGAATGGAAGAAGGTAAGGCTGAAAATTTGTGAATTAAGCTTTATTATTTAAAATGTAATATTCCAGGGCAAAAAGTCATTTAAGGATTTACTAGCTGGATATGCAAATCATCGTAGGGAAGAAACGTCAATTTTTAAATATTTAAATAATCAAATTGAACTGTATTCAAACATGTGCATTGGTAGACAGTCTGACGCCATAAACTTTCTGTCTCAGAAAATTAGATTTGATGATATTATGGCATTCATTAGACATGAAAATGTCCCAGACGACTTACGTGCATCATTTTGTAAATTATTGAATAATTTATATATTGATCGTCAGCCTAGAGAGCGCTTGAATTTGAATCAAATTGCTTATTATTGGAAGTTGATTCCGGATAAAGTCAATAAGAATCTTAAGGATATGTTCAGTGGGAATTATGGAGAATTTCAAATTATTAAGGATTTTATTGGAGAGTATTTGAAACGTTTGATTTTAGATGAAAAGTTATTTAAGAAAATGGTGAGTTTAACGGTATTTATGAATTTTTTCTGTTGTACTGTTTTTGCTTGAAGTTGTCATTTGTACGGTTTTGTAATTTTTGAAACATTTGTGAGGTTTTTATAAATTTTTTGAAACTTTTGTATGGTTTTAGAAATCCTTGAATTTAACAGAAGAAATTTCAAATCAATAATTCTCTTTTCATCTTTAGATCACTGAAAAGACAACACTAGAGGTCACTAACTTGCTCTATACCACTTTAGCTTTCGGGTTTTATAATCTAGAAGGAGTTTTTGAAATGCTGTCGACAATTTTAACTGTCATTGAAGGATTTAACAAGTTTAAATGCGAGGAACTGCTTTCTTCTATTGTCATCTTGAAGCTTAAATGCCTTGACATTATAAATTTAGTTTTTGATTATGTTACTTACAGTCGCATCAATTATTTGATTAACTTGATAAAAGTGGACATAAAAAAGCAGAAAATTGAGAATCTCGCATCGAAAAGCTATCAAAGTGAATTTCAATTGAAAATTAAGGACTTCTTTACTGATGAGGTAAGTTTTGTATTGCTCTGACTAATAAAAGTACATACAATGATATTTGGCATCCCCTAGGTCCCTAAGAACATCAGCATAAGCAACGCGAACAACCAAAGAATAATCTCGAATGTCATGCAACTAATTTTATCTAAATCACCAGAAATAACATCAAAAGCTTATCATACATTATTCCATCACTTCCATCAGTTTTCAGACCTTGAAAAGTCATTTTCTAAAATTAAAATAATCGTTGAAGACGACGAAGACACGCTGAGTGAAAGTGCCACAGACATATCATTTTGCAGTATTCATAATTTAGTTTGTAGCGTTCAGCAGGAACTTGTCACGAAGATTGGCTTGAGAATGTTTGCCGAGAATAATTTAATTGCGAAATATTTGTATTGGATTGGAAGCGATGAAAGCTCAAAGGAATTTATCGATATATTGAGCAATGTCATTAAGCATATTAATTATTTGGTTGAAAGCAATGAAAAAGATCTTTCAGTTATGCTGCTTAATTTATTAAAATTCATGCTTCATTATGAGAATGATTATGCTGTGGAATTAAAGTCGTCTTTTGACATCAAATTCTCATTTGTTGAAATGAAAAATTACTTTGACAGTCAATTTAAAGCTCTTCAGGATAATTTTGAGCTTTCTGAAGTTCAACAGACATTGTTGGACAAGAATATTGGAGATTTAGTCATTTCGATGATTATTAGGTCACCAGAAATGAATATTTACTTCATTGAAGGATTGGATCTAGCTAATCAAATGCTTAATAAAGGAAATGCACAAACACAGTCATGTCTATATAATAATATCATGTCATTAGACTCGCCGACTGACTTCTTCAAGCTTATTTATGATAAAATTCAGGCAAGCAACTTTAATCAATTCGAATTTAATTCTAAATAGTCAGCAAAAACTTTTTTTAATGAATTCACAGGAATGCAAATTGGAAATTAAAACCGACAAGCTGAACATTAGTCATGTTGAGTCATACATCGAATCGAGTCATTCTCAACTAATTAAAAATTCAAGCACGGAAGATTATTCTAGTAATTCTATATCGCACAACTATACGCAAAGTAATAGAATTAACTGTACTTATACATCTACAAATGTCGTAGTTTCAAGAAAAATTTTAAGATTCCTTCAATTGCTCTGCGAACATCATAATGCGGAATTTCAAAATATTTTACGCGATCAAAAAACCAAAATTAATTATAATCTCGTCAGTGAAACGCTTTCGCTGTTTGATTGTATTTGCGGTAAGTGTTATTCGCATGGTTTTACTTTATATTATTAATTCATAGCGCATGATCATATTCTATTAAAATGATTATTTCAACGGCTTGTAAAAATTCAAATATTAGCGGTTTTAAAAATTCAAATTTAAACAGTTTTTGAAAATTCAAATTTTAAATGCTATCAAAATTCAAACTTTAACGGTTCTCAAAAATCCAAATGTAAATCTTTTCTAGAACAATTTCAACAGCGAGATGATTATGACCTAATTTTCTACACGTGCTTAGATGCTCTCACAGAATTCTGTCAAGGTCCATGTATCGAGAATCAAAATTGCATAATCTATCATGACTCAAACATCTCTACAACCGTTATATCTCTTCTTACTCAATTCAATTGGAATGCTGGATTATTTGGAAGTGTTTTGAAATTTTTATTTGCACTTCAAGAATCAAGAAGCAGCTTTGATTTTCTAGAAAAGTCTGTGAACGAAGAAATTTTTCAAAAATTGCTTCAGAAGGTCGTGCATGGATATAATATGAATGAAAATGAATGCACCGAGTCGATGACTATTTCTCATAATTTTTATATTTTGTGCTATCAATTAGCCAAGAATAATAGAATGTTTGAGGATGCAATGCGGAATATTTCACTGAGTGAACATCAGGAAGCTTTTAAATATTTTGAAAGTAACACCGCCCAGATTGAAATCGTCAAAAATGATCGTACATTAGAGGATGTCATGTTTCCTATACCTAAGTTATGTAAGAATTTAAGTCAGGAAGCAAAGTCTAAAATATTCTTGTCATGTGAAAGGGACCTGCAAGGTTCTAAGGTACGAAACAACTTTATTTACTCTTGTGCATCTCTCAAGTGTCATTTTACAGATTCCAGACTTCTTCAGCAAAGCCAATGAACTTTTGGACGAACTTGAATGGGATAGTCGCAAATCACACAATTATTTCAACTTGAATATTGCAAAGAATAAATTGGCATTTTCAACAGCAACATTCATACTTGTTCTGCTAATAAATTTGTTCATTATATTCCTATATCCATTCAGTAGCTGCGAAGTGGACTTTAATTGGAAATCAAATATTTGCGCAATGACTTTTCTTGGATTATTGCCTGTTTATTTGCACTCTAAATTTGAATATCGATGGTCAATTTGGATGTTTATGATATCAATGATATTTGCAAATACAATGGACGGATTTATGACAATATTGGGAAGTGCTTGTGTCGTCACGAAATGCTTTCATATTATCGGAATTGTTTATGAAATTTGGGTCAAGAAACAACATGAACATAAATTGAATAATGCAGATTTACAGCTTCAGATTGCTTATTTGATGATAGCTTTCTTTGGAACTTCCTATAATCCACTGCTGTTTTCTATTTTGGTGAGTGCTGAATTAATTTTGACTCGATTTAAATTTTCAAAAAAAAAAGAAAAAAAAAAATTGAAAACCATACAAATGTTTTACAAAATACGACAATTGTAATGTTTTGAAACATTTTCAAAAAAATTTGTACGGTTTTCAAATTTATTTTACATTTTTGAACACTCAATTAAAGTTCTCTGATATTTAAGGGATACGTGCTGAAAAAAATCTCTCATAAATAATTTTATTAACACTCATTTGATTATATTTGCACAGCTTCTGGAAATTATTTATCGCGAAGAGACATTACTCAATGTTATCAAATCAGTAACAAGGAATGGCCGTTCAATTATATTCACAAGCTTATTAGCATTTGTTCTCGTCTATTTATTCTCAATTATTGGATTTGTTTTCTTTGGCGACGATTTTATCGTCATTGCACAAACAGATCAATCATCGCAAATGGAAAGAGCATGCGATTCTCTATTTATGTGCATAATTACATCATTAAATCATGGTTTGAGAAATGGAGGTGGAATTGGAGATATTTTAAGGACACCGTCATTTTTAGAAACGTCTTATCTACCGAGAGTTGTTTATGATCTCTTATTTTTCTTTGTCATTATCATAATTGTGCTGAATCTTATTTTTGGTGTAATCATTGACACATTTGCTGATCTAAGATTAGAAAAGCAGGAGAAAGAAAAGATTTTAAGAAATACATGCTTCATATGCAGTCTACACAGTTCCGTATTTTGTAATAAGAAAATTAGTTTCGAGGAACATATGAAAAGCTATCACAATATGTGGCACTATTTATATTTCATTGCACATCTCCGCATCAAAAATCCCACAGAGTTTACTGGTCCCGAGAGTTATGTCCATCATATGATTCTGATGAATAATTTAGAATGGTTTCCAAGACAACGTACAGCGTCGCTTAATGAAGACGAGAATAATGAGGAAATCAGTAAATCCGATGTGCATGAATTAAAGAAAATGCTCGAAGGAACTCGAGATATTATTGCTAATCTCTCAAAGCAATCAATCGAACTAAAGCACCAAGTATGTATACATTACCTGCTTCCCTACCTATAAAATAATATTTATTAATGCCATTTTATCTTATTTTTTTTAAAGATCAACGAACAGCGAAAACATAAACGTTATGAAATTTTCACCACTAGATCATCAACATTATCTAATATCAATCTCCAGTCTGTTGATCATTGTTAAGCCTTTATTGTTGTTCCAAAAATTAATTAATTATGTTATAAGCTGTTTTAAGTGGTATAAGTTAAGGTTTAATGAATAAATTTGCTCTTTTAAAAATTAAAGGATCTGAAATATTTGTAAATTATCGATTAAAAGAGATTTGAATATTATTGAATTTCTGTTCCTGAAAAAAATAAATTCCATGACATAATGCCTTCTATTTCAAATGCAATGTAACAAGTTCGCATGTTTCGCATGTAAAGTTTCTCAAAAAATTAACGGGTTTTTAAAATTCAAAAGTTGTCTCAGAAAGCGCTTTTTGGTGTTGTCATTTAATAATCAATGAAAAAAACTTGTAGTTTAAGAAAAAAATGAAAATAATTGTGCTTTGAAGAGTTATGTTAAGGTTTATGTTGCATAAAGTTAATAGGCTATCTATTATCTAATCGCGAAAGGTAAAGTTCGCGAGTTAAATTAGTGAAATTGACGTGAAGAACACAAATGGCTACGACAGTAGAAAAAATTGATAAAATAGAAAAGATTCATGACGATATTTCTTCATCAAAGAATTCAGAACAAACAACGACTGCCAGAGAATCGGAAACGACATCAGATTATGGTAAGAAGTGTGAAGATTTAAAATAAATTAATTGTGAAATTTCCTAGTGCGAAAAATTACAAGAAAAAAAAATATAAAAAAATGCAAATTATGAATCAGACAATTTCAAAGGCCATTAAAAAGAGTATAGAGTGTATAGGAAGAAGAAAAACAACAAAAATATCATTCATTTTCCCATGAAATACATATTAGCTATACATATATTTATGTTATGTGATGTTATATGAGTAAAAAACTTATAATCCTATAAATCCTGGATTATTGAATTTTATGAGACATCCAGAATCTTTTTTTTTCACGCATACTGTCTATGTGCTATAAAATGTTCATAAAGACAGATTTTTGTGTAAAGGAATGAATGAATGAATGAATGCATGAGAAAAAAAGTGCAGATTCTCCTGTGTATAGACATTTGAAAATTAATAATTTAATGATACATCATGAATGCAATTTCTGAAAGGCAAAGGAGGGGGTCAAAAACTTGGGGGTGTCAAAAAAAATTTAAAAACTATTTTGAAAGAACTTTTTCAAATATTTTTTGGCAGTTTTTTTTTCAAATACTTTGTGACAGTTTATTTTGAATATTTTTACTGCACGTTTGGACTTCCAACTTCACGAGTATCCAAATCTATACTAGTTATATTATTTTCCACGATCTATTTTTAATTAATGGCCCAATTTGTTTTCAAAACATACAAATAAAAAATATTTCAATTGATGCTTGATTTAAAGCATATTAAACTGTATAAACAATTGAGAGAAGAATAGAGCGAATTGGACTGTGCAATTTATGGAGGCTGAATGTGATAAGAGTGAATTATATGATAAGATGCCTTCAAATTCCTTCATTGCTGATTCATAGTTCACATGTAATAAGCTTTTTAAAAACTAATCTTTTCTTTGTATGACTTGACTCGACAGTGAGGACAGGTGGTGCGCATAATGAGGTGAGTTTACAGCATAAAGTTTCACAAGTCTCGCGAGAAATTTATCAAAATTATGATTTCAGACAATGTCGGAAGGAACTAGAGGGAGCGCTATCAACAGCTCCATATCAAGGACGGCAAAGTCTGATAAAGAGAAGAAAATTGGACATCGGAGAGTCGGCGAGGATGGCGAAATTACGTATAAAAAGATCCAGACGAGTACCATTATGGGCTCAATTCAATTAGGAATACAACATACAGTGAGTTAACAAATTGTTACACACAATAACCTTCACATTCACTTAGCACACTGAACATTTTACTATACATTATTATATATATTATTTCAACGGATCGATAAAATCATGCTATTGATTTTTATTTTTCTTCTGTGCACATTTTTCATTCTTTTTTTTATTTTTTTGCTTTTTTCTCTCCTTTATACAACAGGTCGGAAGTTTAGCCTCTAAACCTAAACGTGATTTATTAATGATGGACTTCTGGGAAATGGAAACAATTTCATTTCCACCCGAAGGAAGCAGCATGACACCTGCTCATCATTACAGCGAGTTCAGATTCAAAATTTATGCGCCTATCGCCTTCCGTTATTTTCGAGATTTATTCGGTATACAGCCAGATGATTTCATGGTACGTACGGCAATAAAATGTGCAAAATATTACAAAAGCTCGTGTTTATGTGGTAGCTCGTTGGTGATGTACTGTTTACACTTAACGGTTTTCAAAAATTCAAAAAATTGAGTATAACTGTAAAAAAATTTGAGCAATATTATTCAAATTTTAAAAATCCGTTGAATCGGTTCTAATGTCAGACAATGTGATGTCAGGCACTAGGAATTTGCGCTGAGAACCTACCTACATGAGCGATGCGATGCAATGTAAATAATAAATAATTCATGAAGGTTATTTTATTTTTAGATGTCCATGTGTTCAGCTCCATTGCGAGAACTTTCAAATCCTGGCGCATCAGGTTCCATATTTTACTTGACCGACGATGATGAGTTTATTATCAAAACGGTTCAGCATAAAGAAGGTGAATTCTTGCAGAAACTTCTTCCAGGCTATTATATGAATCTTAATCAAAATCCCCGAACACTTTTACCAAAATTCTTTGGCTTATATTGTTATCAATGCAATAGCAAAAATGTCCGTCTTATTGCAATGAATAATTTGTTACCGTCTTCGATAAGGATGCATTTGAAATATGATTTAAAAGGATCTACTTATAAGCGTAAAGCAAATAAATCGGAAATGAAAAAAAAATCTCCGACTTATAAGGATTTAGATTTTATGGAGCATCATCCAAATGGAATTAGTTTAGAAGCTGACACATACGCGGCATTAATTAAAACAATTCAAAGGGATTGTCGAGTACTTGAGTCTTTTAAAATCATGGATTATTCGCTACTCGTTGGTGTTCACAATATGGATCAAGCTCAAAAAGAGAAGCAGGAAGAAATGAAAAATAGACATGCTAGAAAAGAATCACGTGGTGGCGACGAATCAGACTTAGAGGATGCTCCGGAAGCAGATCAAGCAATGCATGAAGACAGGGCTGGAACTTCATTAAATCGCACTAGGTACGTACCAAAAAGTCGGTGTGCTTCAAATTCTTTTGCTCTTTTCATTAATTTTTTTCTGAGTCAATGCTTATGTCGTATAGTGCACTTCACAGATCCATTAATCGCCAACGTTTAGTTGCACATAGTACTGCAATGGAGAGTATTCAAGCAGAAAGTGAACCGATTGACGAGGAGGAAGACGTTCCGTAAGTTCAATGTCATTTTTGTATTACATAAAGTTACATTTTATCTAATTAATTGCATTTACAGACCCGGTGGCATTCCAGCACGAAATGATAAAGGAGAACGATTGCTTTTATTCATTGGTATTATCGATATTTTACAATCGTATCGATTAAAGAAGAAATTGGAACATACGTTCAAAAGTATCATTCATGATGGTGTAAGTAAAACCTTCTATTCACTCAGCTGTGACATTCAAATTGATAAATGATTAAAAAATTCATGAGAACTACTAGCATTCCGATGAACATTAAAAAAAAATTTTGTGGCAAGATTTATGAGCTCTTTCCTGTGACAAATTGAAGCTACATTGCATTTATACTTTAACGACTTTCAAAAATTCAAATCGCAATGATTTTCAAATCTTTGACTTAAAACGGTTTTCAAAAATTCAAATTTATTTATCTCGATTTTTTGAAATTCAAATTTGATCTTTAACGGATAAAAATCACAATTTCTCATTCAAGAAGGAAATAAAAATTGCAGTCACGTTTTAGCCGGCAGAAGTGACTCAAATAAGCCATTTGTCATGGGAAAAAGCTCCGAAAAAATACAATTCCACTTGTCTAATATAAACATTTTTTTGTCTACATTCTAGGATACCGTTTCTGTACATCGCCCATCTTTCTATGCTCAACGTTTTCAAGATTTCATGGCCAAGACTGTATTTCGAAAAATTCCATCGCGTAAGTTTACATTATCAACACCACTGAAACAATCGATGGGTCATTTATGATGTTTTGTTTGTTTGATACGAAATTTCATTATCTCTTGTATGATTTGATTTCTCAATCTTATTTTTCCTCATTTTTTTTTTTGACGATTGATATTTTTTTAAACATGATTTGGACGACGAGTAACAAATTGTTACATTTTTTTGTTTTTTTTTTTATCGGTTTACACAAATATTTTAATTAATTTAGAAACGAAATAATATTTTTTTAATTAAAAAGTAAGCTTTAAGGTTTTGTCAAGACAAGAAACATTTATATACACACACAAAACATGTACAAAGCCTTAAAAAAAAGTTGAGTAAAATTTAACACAAACAAAAACTATGATTGTGATTAAAGACACGGCATTTGTGCCTGTGTCTTAATATATATTTTAAAAATATGATAATTTGAGGTATTTTATCATAATTAATTTTTATTATTTAATTATTTGACTGGTCGTCTATAAAAAAAAATTGGATGTCTATAAGTCGACGTATATATTGTATTTTACTTATTATTTTGAAGGAAAGCAGTTTATATATATTATATATATTTGTGGAAAGTCTCTAAGTGGTTAATTGTTGTGATATCTTTAAGATAAAAATTACATTTTCGCATTAAAAACTGAAAAAAAATTAATAATTTTTTTGACCCCTTTTCAATTTAATTCCTTCATTTTATAAGAAACTTAATTAACTTATGAAATGACATAGAAAGTTTAAAAAAGAATCTTTTTCTTATATAATTCATAACATATATTTTAAATAACCAAGAATTTAACATTTATTTTAATTTTTTTTATATTCTTCTGTAAATTTATTTTAATTTTCTATCTTTATCTACCCTAACTGTTTGTCTATAGTCTCTTATATTACACAAATATGTCTCAATATGAAAAATGACAATTTCCACATTTCATTCCTACTATTTTTATACATTGTAGCTTTTCTTTGAAAAAAATTCTCTATTTCTATTGACTATCTTGCTTATTCAATTAAGCATGAGAATTATTTATTATATGATGGAAATAATCTTAATGAAAGCATTGTTGCCTTCCTCTAAAATGTGTGACTTGATCCTTTTTTTTTACAATTTATTTGTACGCAATTCAGGAGTTTTGGAACTTTTCCGCCATTTTAAAAGCTTAAATTAAGTCCAGGCAATCCTATAACTTTCAGAAACATTTTTGCACAAATTGAAATTGAAATTGAATTGTAAAAATCTACCAAAATTGAGTTGCGTACATCTTTAAAATCTCGCGGGACGAAATCAATCAAAATTCTGTTATTTTAAGTTTCTTTTATCATTTCTTCCCTCATAAATGACCCGAAAAATATTTCAACTTTTGTTTTTTGTTCTCATTACGTGCCAATGACCTTGCCTTTTATTCACCCATTATACTGATAATATTTGTTTATGTTTATTATTTTTGCTGCATACAAAACCACTTTTGGTTTCTCATCAAGTTTAGTTTACTTTTGTCATTCATAAATTCACAAAACAAAAGAAAAAAAAAATTGAATTTTATTGCGAATGACAAGTGACAAGTAAAGGAACAAAAGAAGAAACCTTATTTACATTTACACATACACATTTTATTCCTGTATTCCGTAAAGAAATATTTTAGAATTTATTCCATCAATATAACTCCATTCATCTACAGAATTTGAAAAAAAAAACGCAAAAAGACTGAGTTTAAATGATTCATACTTTACTGCTACCTTAGCTGATTTCACTTACTTACGGCTATTATTATAAGGAATGAAATTTCACACACAGAAAAATAAATAATTTATAGCTATTATTTACACAACCACACCCCTCGTGTACAATGTGGATATTAATGCTTAGTGACCAATTTGATTTGTCTTCCTTACCCAAAAAATTTACACACTAGGCCAGGAGTGTAGCCAGATGAGAATTTACTTTTGGGGATGTCTAGAAATTGAGTTTGATGATGCATGGAAGTTTCTGAAATCTTTAGAGTTATCCCATGAATTGTGATTGATCAACCATTTCAGTTTCGAAACAAAGCCAGGAGAAATATGAAAAAAAAAATTCAAAATAAAAGTTTGAAATCAAAATGATTTTTCATAAGAAACTTAATCCTAAACTCATTTTGAAATTCCCTTCAAAATGAGTTTGGTCGTATTGACCTTATCTGATTGAAATTCAACTTTTAATCCATATTTCATTACTAACGCAATTTGAGATTCAAACTTTTTGATAATTTTAATTCTAAAAGCTACAGATGACTGTTGAACATATTTGAACGACTTCTTAGACAACAATAGTGATCTATGAACCAAAGTCGAATGGAAATTCATTCCTTTAAAATTACATTCAATCAAACTTTCGATCTCTGGCTATGCTCCTGCACCAATTACATTAATTTGACACACTTCCTCATGTTTATTATTTCTTTTACGAATCCTTATGATTTCTTCATACCAATTATTATTTTCTTTATCAATGAAATAAAACCCATTTATCGCTCATTATACAGAAGAAAAATTGAAAAAGGGCACACAAAAAAACCAGCAATTTTGATGAAATCATTTCTTTTCTCTTTTTTCTTCATATATTTTTTTCTTTTTTTCCTATTCTTCATCCTCGGATCATTCGTTATGTAATTACAATAATCAAAAAAAAAAATTGAATTGACAAAAAAATGAAAAAATATCTTTTTTTTTTTATTAAATCATTTCATTGCCTCATGAACTTTTTTAAAATATCTGAAAAATTTGAAATATGTAAAAATATTAATTTAGTGGATCTTCCCGAAATCAAAGGGCAACATCGTAAATTTCGTACTTTGGTGACTAGCTATATAGGTAAAGTCTGGAAATCTATTTTCATACCTTTTTTTAAAACAAATTCGAAATGCTTGTAATTTCGAGAATTTTTATATCTTTTTTTTAAGTACAGATGAACTTACTCATTATTCTTTTTATGAATTTAAAATGCACGATTTTTTTTAACTTTTTTGATTCCTATTTCTATTTATAATTATTTTATTAATTTCCGATCTAAAAAACTTTTTATATCCAAAAAAAAAAATTCTTTTTATGTTGACAAATTTGTCCTTTTGGATTAGTTCCAACAAAAAACTATTCACGATTGAAAAGGATTATTTTTTTCAATTAAGGTGTGCAACACGTGGCTTGACATGAATTATTGATGTCTTATGCATGCAATTTTTATATACATAGAATTGACATAAAGTTTGAGGTGAAGAACATGACATTGTGTTGAGTTTAGCCATAATTATGAGTGAAGGATGAATTATTGTAGACTTTTATAGAACCTTGAATGTTCAGGGTAAACCCATGAAGGGTGAAAACTACAAACACTTCTAATTTAAGATAAAACATTGAAGTAACTGAAATTTATAGATCCTTACAAAGATTCAAAAGGAGCATGACTCCAATGACTTTATTTGATCGTTTTTGTTAATTCTTTTATTCATCAAACCTAGATTAATAGTTAAAAACCAACGTTGGCCTGTTGAACTAGTTCAGAAGCTAATTCAATCTTATTAAATTAATCTCAATTTTGTGAAAAATCAAAAAATTCTGAATTCTTGTTAATCATTTTATAAAATCACGTGTTCGGTTGAATTCAAGCTAGTACAAATGAAAATGCCTTAAATTCGTTTAAGGAAACCAAGATGTTGTTGCATTTTCTGATAGATCTTGTTTCAAGTTTGCCAAAAAAACCAAAAATGTTAAAGATTGTTAAGAAGTGGTTCATAAATGACATCACAAAAGGGGGAGTCTTATTGTAAAATGATCGTTATTTTTGTATGTCATTTATGAACGATCCCTAAGTGTTTTGACGAAAAACAGCTTAAAAATAAAAAAAAAATGGATTTTAAACATTTTCACTTGAACGAGTTTAATTCCCTGATTCATCATCCACTTGAGTATTAATTTAATCAAAATATAAAATTGGAAAGAACCTTGCCATTCAATCATGAAATAGTTTGAATTCATTCGTGAATAGTTAAATACTTAAATTTAAATTTAATTAGCAAAAAACAAAAGTTAAATTTATGATTTAAAAAAAATATAGTTTCTCTGCATGCTGCAAAATACCTTTTTTTTAATTCACAAATATTTATATTAAAAGAATCAAATCAAAAATGAGATGATCAATATAAGAAAAAGAATTGTAAATATTTAAAAGGAAAAAAATACATAAAAAAAAATCAGTGAAAACATTGTTTGTAGATTTTAATAAGCATGTCAAAAGCAATTTTAATATAAATTTTTTTTCACTTTCTAGTTTATGGTTTTATTTCTCAGTAAATTGCACAATTATACTTTTTATGTTTCTTTCGTTTTGTATATAATTCAACATTTCCTTCAACAAAACCGTTTATTTTGCCTGCTGCACTCTTCAACCACAACATTATTATAATATATAGTCAAAATAATTGTAAATGTTCTTCCCACTTGTTGAAAAATGCTAAGTTGTTTTTATGTCTATATCATTATTATGAACAAACCTCATAGCTTATTTCCGAGCATATAAATTTTATTAGTTCTTAAAAAATAAACATGCACAGCATAGAGAAAGTGAAAATAAGGACTAAAGATTGTTGAATTTCTGATTTTTGTTTTATGGTTTGGAAAATTATTTTAAAGTTGTTTGAGATGAATTTGATGAACTTTAAAGTTCTTTGAAAAAAAATAAAATTTTAAAAAGATTCAAATTTCATATTTTGAAAATTTTAAGGTTTTTGAACTTTACAATTTTAAAAATTTTAAGTTTTCTAAGGTTCGAAATTTTTAAAATTATTAATATTTGGAAAATTATTTTAAGGTTGTTTGAGATGAATTGATGAACTTTAAAGTTCTTTGAAAAAAATAAAATTTTAAAAAGATTCAAATTTCATATTTTGAAAATTTTAAGGTTTTTGAACTTGACAATTTTTAAGATTTTAAGTTTTTTAAGGTTCGAAATTTTTAAAATTATAAGTTTTTTAAATTTAAAATTTTCAAAATTGATATTAATATTTTAAAAAATTCTTTAATTTTCAAAGTTGAAAAATTTGAAAAAACTCATTAGATTTTAAAAAGATTTCTGAAACTATTCATTAATTCAAATTCAATCTTCTCAACCTACCCTCAAACGATCGTTGCATGATTTTATCATTTTATGAAGTGTTTTATTTGATTCCCAATCGCATAGCATAAGCTTGTTTGCTAGTTTATTTATGATCGCGAGAGAGTAAAAAGTTTTTAATTTTCTATCAAGTGGAATTTGAGTTTGTGGCTTATATTTTTTCTGAGAGATGATTAATGTTCATTTATGGAAGAATTATACACCAATTCATCATTCTGTTTTTGTGCACGAAACATTTTATGTTTGATGCTTCATCATAATTTTTTTGATCGAGCATAAATTTGTTTTTATGTTGAAAAAAATTCTTTTATTGTTTTCAAGGTGAGAATTTTTTTTATCGTTGGAATTTAATTGTAGATATTGTGTTAGTAGATAGCTTTGCTTCTCTTCACTGTTTTTCTATTTTTCTACAGTTTTCTGTTCCTACTTACTTCTCTATTTCTATATCTTTGTTCTTGCTAATTTTCATTTCATTTATAATTTCCTATCAAATGTTCACGCGACTCAACATGAAAATGTAAACGATACATCAAGTCGCCGCTTCAAAAAATTAAAATTAAAATGTTTAAAGATCATAAATTATTTGATAGAACTGTCAATGTTTTGTGTCATATATGTAGATTGATTAATTTGTTTATGAAACATTTTAATAATACCTTATCATATTTTTAAAACAAATTGCTCGATTTTTCCACATTTTTAATCTTATTTTGTTTTTCTCGTTTTTACCAATTTTCCAGCTCTCAAACATTCACCGTCGAAACGGAAAAGTTTATCAAAGGTCGCGCATCAAAGATCAACTGAATCCGAGGCTGACAGTCATGGTAAGTCATTACTTGGAAGTTCTTTTTTCAACATTGTCTTTAATGCATTCATGTTAAAAAGCTGCAAATTATGCACAATTTATTTATAATTTTTCTGCGCATGCAGTGGGAATGCTCGTTAAATATTGAGCTTGAAAGAGTTATTGGATTTGGGAGGATGACATAGTTAAGTTTAGATTCATAAATGCTTCCCTATAGACTTTTTATGTATTTTAATTTTTGTCAACCAAAAGAAGATAATAGAAACGTTAGTTGACATTTTCTAGATCCTTGATTTTGGGAATCTTATTTGCCTTTCAACATTGATATTTGAAATAATTACTAAGTTTGCTCTAAAAGTCCTCTAGCAAGCTTTCAAAGTCTTCAAGAGTTAGTTTAAATACAAGACGGGGAGTAAAGACAAATCATCTCATTTCAAATGTCTTAAATCTTGATCAAACTTAAATTCAAAGCGACTTTGAACTGAATCGTTAATCTAATGAATTCTGGCTATTTCATTAGGTCTTGTTAAAGATCAAGCAATGTTTATAAATTTACAAACTGTTGCTTTCTACCTTATTGTCCAATCCAATCAATCGACTGTCATTGATTATTTTAAACAAAATTTAAAAATTAAGCTTTAAAACTCTTTTTTGGCGCCATACTAAATTTAAAAATTTGTTTACCATCAAAATTACTGAAAAATTTGTTCAACCGCAATCAATGCACGATTAAAAAGCTTGGAAGCATAAAATTGCAAACTTTCCCTGCAGTCCTTACCTCCCACAACTTTGTAACTCAATTCTCGTTGTCACAAAAATAAAACATTGATGCAGAAAAAAGTCACCAGCCAGCAAAGCTTTCAATTAAACTTTTACAATTTTCTGTTTATTTTTTACTCCCCATTTTTTTTGTGCACAATAAATAGCGGCAAGCAGCTCGCATAATCAGCCTCACAGTAGCTCTTCAAAAGCAGGTTGGTAGCTTTTAAAATATAGATGAGAAATTTTTTTATATTTTAGCTTTATTCTTCCTTCCTTCTTTTTTTCTTACACGGATTTTTTTTTCTTTTTTTTTATAAAATAAACCTCAACAACAACAACACTCATTACCCTCATTATGATTTTAATTTTATTATATGACTTTTGTTTCTTGTTTCTCTTTTGTGCGATACATAAAAAATTGTTTTTATAATTTTTTTTTTTTGTGTGTGGCTTAATAACAAATTTTCTGGAATCACTTGCTCGTTGCTGTGTTCTGTATGATTTCGTTCTGTTTAACATTTCTCACATATCAACGTACATTTTATTATACAATTTTATGTTGTGTTGTGAATCTTATGCCTTTATTTTTTATTCCGAAAAAAAAAACCAAAACAAATTTGATGAATTTATTTCTTGAAAAAAAAAATACCCAAAAAATATATTTTTTTATAAAAAAGTTTCTCGTTTCTTCTCATTTTTACTGCATCCATTCACCAAATAACTGGAAATTCTGATCATCAAAAAAAAAATATTATTAATCATAAAAATTAATTTGAAACAAAAAAAAATCCTTTAAAAAATAATTAAAGCATCAGGATCGGTCAACATGCAATTGATTCGTGCAATCAATAAAGCCAATAAGAGCAATAATAACTATAACAATAATAATAATAGTAATAATCAGACGTCCTCCTCGAATAACGTCACAACAACAAATAGTAAGGTTGTAATTGTTGCTCCGCCAACAGCAGCTGAAAAGAGTCAAGCACTTCTAGTCAGCCAATATGCCAATTCGTCAAGTGGTGCTGTTGCAACTCCAGTCAGTCCCAGTGCATCGTTACCGCCATTAAAAAAGCGAACGTCAATTGTTAAACAATCTGTGCCACCTCCTGTTCCACCGCGTGGTTCGCCTCGATCTAAAAGTAAAAAATCATTCACAAATTCATATAATTTCTATTATCGCACTAGTAATAGATGTCATAAAATTGATCATGATAAATTAAAGACTTTAGAAGCTATGAGTGCTGTTAGTGGCACACAAAAGGTTAAGAAATGGCTTGAATCTGTTGAGATTCCTGATGAAGTCATGTCGCCAGATGATGAGATAGCAAAATGTCAGGAATTTAAATTTAAAAGTGTCAAACGTCTCATTGACTCATTCACAATGAAGGATGGATGTTCAATTAAAAAGCCGGTTGTGAATAAAGCAAGAATCTCCGATAGTAGTTTAGTTAAGGCTCGTGTAGAAAATTATAATTCTCTTGATCATAGTGCAATAGCTAAGCTAAATAGAAAAGCTCAATCATTGTACATAAATGAGACAGATTCAGGAATTGAAAGCTCGATTAAAGTGACAAACAGGCTCTTGTCGTCAGCCAAAAAAGATAAAATCGCTCATCATCAATTCAGTCGTGATGGTGAATTTGTTTAAAAATATTTTTTTGTCGTATGTGTGGACACTCTGGATGTAGGTCATCTTTTGACATAGATTATCTGAATTATTAATAATGTTAGGGAACTCTTATAGTCAAATTTGAGGTTAAGTATAAGGATAAGGGTTCGGTATCTTCATAATGTCTAATAAGTTAATATACTGTCTTGTCTGGACGATTAAGAACCTAGATTAATATCATCATTGCTTAAATCTATGATTTCGCCTGTTTATGGCTCTTAAATGACAATACAGCTGATTGTGAATATGATAGAGGTGTCAATAATCCATAAAAATCTATCCTTTTGCCTTGATGCTTTATAAAATTCAGTATAAAAATGAAATCAATCAGATTGTGCTTGATTGAGCTTCCTTTAATCAAAAAAAAAAAAAACCTTTCTATGAGCATGTGAAGATCAATGCAGTAGAATGTATGCTTATTCATAGTCCCCCAAAAATCCTGCTTTCACAAAATCCTATGGAATGTTAAAAAGAGTGTCCACAACTAGCCTTAAGTGCTTTTAACAGAGTTTATTTATTTTTCGATAGAACTTTTTTTAAATTTAAGATTTTAATGCCGAGTGCTAATTTATTTGCTGTATGTATATAAACAAATTGAAAAGAAAAGCTTTTAAATGACAGATTTGTTGGCAGTGCCACTCTAGTTGTCAATTATAGCCAATTTTCACAATAGTAATATCGTTCTACTTCTATCTCATTCATTCACTATATCTGTAATTCTCTAACTCATTTCATCTGTTATTGCTTTAATGTACTTTTCACTTCTCTACTTTTTATGCTCTTTCTCTCTCACACACTTACATTTTTCATCATTTGAATCATGTATAATTCATAAACGCTCCACATGTGTCTATTCTTTATCGCTAGGCTCTGCCCCATCATGCTCATCAACGCCACCACCCGCATTTGACGATATCAGCGAGCATGGAGTTTATAACAATCAAACGAAAAATTTAAGCAATGACTATAGAAGTTCTAGTGATAAGAGACTAAATTCGCCTCGCAGTACGAGTTATCGTGAAGATTCCGTTAGGTATGAATACTGACAGTGAATTAATTAACCTTAATATCCTTAATACTTAATTGAATTTAATTAACACAATCAAATTTTTATCTTTCCTTGTGGCTGTTAGTATATCAGACATTCGTTTAGAAACACAATTAGCTAAGGACTCAACATCATCAAATAATAGTAATTATGGCTCGAGAGGAGCTTTGGCTTGGACTCCACCAACATCAATGGAGGGCTCAACTCCAACATGGACGGAAGGCACACCGAGTTTTACAGAATCAAGCTCTAGTGAAAATGGTGAAATTGGTAAGGGGTTACTCACTAATGACAGTCAATGTTGAGGGGAAGGAAATCAAATGCTACAAAATGGAAAATCTGGTGATGGGAGGGGAAGGGGAATTCAAAACCTTCAACTTGACGTCACTTGTGAATAACCCCCATGAAAATAATCTATGAAAATCATTTTTAGCTATCAAATTTTCTTTAAATAATAATTTAGAATTGTCTGGTTCCTCGTCACCTCTCAATCATTCATCAATGTCAGATAAGCACAAGCCAACTGTTGAGAAAGCCCTTAACTCCCTAACATCCGAAATGGTGAGAGTCTGTTATACTGATTCTAAAAGTATTAGAATTCTTTACAAATCCCAAGATTTATAAGAACAATAAACACAACCAACATCATACACACACATACACACGCATGTATGAAATTTGTATAGAACAGAAAAAAAAGATAAAAGATGTGAAAAAAAAAACTTTTTTCCTAGAAAACAAAAAAATATTATTTTAATTAAAACAATACACGCGTACATTGTTGAAGACCTTTACAAGTCATTATCTCTTGTCTTTTTTTTTCATGATCCTTTAATGTAACTTTTTTTCTTGCTTTTATTTTTGTTATTCAACTTATTTTTGTATAATGTCAGGAACATGTATAGTTAATTTTATTCTTATTATTCTTACTTTATTTTTTGTTGTTAAAATATCAGAGATCGAAGCCGATTTTTTCGGCTTAACTCAATTTTTGATTTTTTTGATAGAAAAAAGCCATTTAACACCCATTTTAAGTATTTAAATTGAACTTTACATGCTTTACTATGATTCTGTGAAATATTTTTTCAGCATGAAGCTATAGTAAGCTCTGAATTTCAATTTAGCCGATTTTAAGCCGATCGGCTTAAATTTCGGCTTAACATTCTTTAACCTGAAATTCTGAGCTCACTATAGCTACATGCTGAAAAAATATTTCACAGAATCATAGTAAAGCATGTAAAGTTCAATTTAAATACTTAAAATGGGTGTTAAATGGCATTTTTCTATCAAAAAAAAAAAAAAATTGAGTTAAGCCGAAAAAATCGGCTTCGATCTCTGTAAAATATCCACGAAAATGATCCTATATAATCGTATAGCCTTAAAAAAAAATTTTCTCGAAGATTTGCATCTTGATAACGACAGTCGAGCACATAAAAATAAATATTTTTGAATAAAGTTGATGAGACTTTTCTTATCGGATTGACGTTTCAATGCTATTTGACCCCCTAAAAAACTTTGTAAGATCTTCAAATGCTTTTAGAATACGTGCAATTTTCATTTCCATTTAAATTTTTTCGTCTCTTTAATTTTGTTTTTGTGTCTTGTGGTGCCTTAATCGAATTTAAACGTTATCTTTCATCGGTGAGGATAATAATTGACTCGGCAGTCAATTTGTCATGATGGGAAATCAATTTTGAGTTCCTTTTTGGTCAGAATTGGATGGAGAGTTGAATATATTTGAGTAGAAACATTTTTTTGCAATAATATGGAGCAGCTAAGTTTTAATATGTTTTGAATCCTTATTCTGTTGCAGTTTAGTCGTGACAAGCTGATAATACAAAAAATTATACTGTAAGCATTTAAGATGCAAAAATAATGAACAAAAGTTTTTTAAATGTTTTAATCATACCCAATAGATTTTTAATTTTTCAGTTGGATGGGAATTGAACCCATGCGGTTTTCGATTGACTGTCGTATTTTAAGTTCGATCAGTTATAATTTATAAGACTACTGAAAATAATATTGACAAAATGTTAACTTAACTGTTAAACTTGATTATGAAGTTTAAAGTTTGAATCTTTTTATTGTTGAATATTTGCTTGATATTTTAGTAAAGTTATCCAAAAAAGATTACTTTTGCTATTTGTAAGACAACTTTGAGCCTTATCATGACAAATTTTGACTAAGATCGTTATTATATCCTTCTCATCAAAACATATATGCACCTACCTAGCTAGCTATGAAAAGAATTATTATTATAAACTGAAGAGGAACATTTATTATTAGGTTAGCAAACAAAATAGACTATTATCATTTAATATCTAATTAAACAACTTTGAATTTTTCTAATGATATTTCATGCTTATAAATGAAGCAAATGAGTAAAAAATCATCAATAAGAAAGTCATTCCACTAATGATTCTACACAATATGTAATGGAACAATAAATAATTACACTAGTTTATATAATTTACGTAAATATTGTAAAAAGATTTTTTTTTGTATAATTTTACAACAAAATGGATTTGAGCCTGTCTGTAAAAAATGCTTTTTATTATTTTTATGTAATCAGCAATTTTTAACGCTATTTATCAATCAAGTTTAAATAAAAGTTTTGATAAATCTCTTTAAAAATTGAGCAATTTTGATGCGAAAAAAAGAATTTCAGAATTGGACTCAAATGATGATCTTATTAATGTTACATTTTTTTGCGTATGTCTTTATTATTTATGTAGACCGAATAATGTTATTTTATGTAATGACTAGGAAAACCAACAAAATATACAGTCGTGACACATTTTTTTTTTGTTTCTTTTGAATTAAGAATTTATTTTTCTCTTTGTGTAATGTTAATCTACACACATTTGAACAATCAAAAGGTTTACTAAACCTACCAACCTACCCTTTAAAAATATTCTATTATGTATATCTATCTGATTGCATGATAATTAGTACCTTTCATTACTAACCGATACATCTACCCTTAAAATATATAAATATATTGTATAATATTATAATTTTTACACTCTCATAATGACTATTACAATGGAAATATCGCATAAAATTTTCTCTACTTAATGTTCGTTGTTGACGGGGGGTGAAGTCTTCTGTAAAATAATTGAAAAATGATAAAAAAAGTTAATGTTGCATTTTTTGTTCGTGATTAATTCCGATAATGAGTGTTTGAATCAAAGAGAAAGTAATTTACTGTAAGATTTTATCACGGTTGGGCTGGTGGAAAATTAAGGATTTTAATTGTTAAAATTTATTTAATATTTTAAGAATTTATAAATAAATAATTCAAGATAAGGAAAATTCTCAAAAAAATTCATTTTATAAGCAATGCTACATTTTCAATTTCAAAATTTATTTGGATTCAAACCCATAAAAGTCAAAGAGTTGTTTTCTTCGGCCATCCTTTCTAATATTCATATTTGCTAATAATCTTATAGATACAATAAATGTGTTTAAAAGTGTCAATTTTTTTATAAATGAAAATGCTGATTGAAAATTCAACAATTAAACTAATTTTGCCATTGATTCAAACACATCATCAATAGACTTAGCCTAATAAAACGAGCAAAATCCTTTCGAATGAAAATTTATTGATAAAACTATTGATTTATTTTAGTCAATAATTTAAGAGTCAATTTAAATTGGTGCATTTTCTGATAGAAAATGCGCTTTAATTTTCCAAAAACATCGTCTTCCTTATTCAACATCATCTTTCAATATACTTTCCAAAAGACTTGCCTCCCCTCGTTTTTCCCCAAAATTTTGAATAAAACTTACCTTAAAAATTAACATTTTCTTCTTCTCTTTGTTCTCTATTGTGCTTACCAAAAAAAAAAAAAAAAATACAAAACAAAAATCCAATCGTTCAGGAAAATTTGCGGTACCAAGTTGATTATGATTATAATTAACTCCTACGCGTTCATTCATTTGTTCATCATACACGTTACACATTGTATATTATTGGATCCAAAAAGAATATCCTAATTGCTAACTTAATCCTGGTATATAAAGAATAAAAAGAAGCGAAAAACAAATGTGATTTCCTTCTCCAAAAAATCCCTTAACCATATTTAAATAATGCGCATTATATATACATCTATATATATATATATATATATTATTATAGTTATATATTTCTTTTTTTCCATTAAATTCATTCAATTAAAAAATGAATAAAAAGTATTTAAATCGTTCTACAAAAAAAAAAAAATCATAAAAAATCAAATCATTATTAAAGACATATTTAAATGAAACAAATAAAAAACATTAAAAAAAATCTTTAAAACAAAATATAACTAAACAATAACTAAGAATGAAATGATAATTACCATTGCGAAATTTAGGCTAATGAAACAAATTATTTATTGATTAAATTGCAGTTGATAATTAATGTTGGTTGATAAAAAATACGACATAAAAGTGATGGGAAAAAATAAAATAAAAATGAAAAAAATTGAAAAAAACCTGAAGTTTTATTTTTGGGAATAATTTCTTTAAAAACAGATTTTAGATTAAAGGTAAGTGCCTTTGAATAATTAAATTTTTGTTGTTGTCTTAGATTCTGGATCAGACGGAAAAATCGTCTAAGATTTTGTATGAACTAGTTGGTAAAGTTCAATAAAATTACATACAAAACTTTAGTCGGTTTTGTCTTCAGCTCAAGAGTAAATGTTCGTTAGCAGAGTATGATGCTCGCCCACATCTCGATGAACATCTAGCCTCACCGCCACATTGATAACAACATTGATTTTAACGTCTCAGTAATTGCGATACAGACCAAAAAAATCTCAAACATCTTCTTAGATTATTATTTCCATTTTAAAATGCTTTAATAACTCGCAATTTTAGGTCAACAAGAAAATTCTCTTCAATTACGCAACAGAGGCATAGAATTGAATGAAAAGTTTCTTCAGGTAGATTTTATCATTTATGAAAAATAATTTTTCTTTGCCATAGAATTCATCCACATTCAAGTGCTCACTTCAGTTTCTGAGAACGAGTTTATTGATTTCACCGTAAATGCACATAAACACATTAATTGAATTAGTTCATTTAATTGGAAATAAATATTGATGTGAGTCGTATTGCTTACATCATAGATGTTTATAATTTTTTTGGGTGTGTCAATTGAAGCAAAAAATTCTCAGTAATTGCTCAAAGGGACTTATTTTTAGAGATTAAAGCATGAAATGTGTTTGAAGGACTTTAAAAATACATCGATAGTTGAAGGGTTGAATCTGATTAAGACTACTGATAATTTCGATTCTAATGTAAACATGAACATCCAAAGAATAGCAGTTGAGGATAAAATCTACAAATATGATCACAAAAGACTTATTAAAGCTGAAATCTTAAACCACAAATTTCAAATTTACTCAAATTACAACGTAGAAATACAAAACTATAATAACAACATCAAACTCAGTATAAATTACACACTATCCAGAAGTAATTAACAGCAATGACTTGACAATAATTCCATATATGTAGGTAAATGGCAAAATTAATAACCACTACATGAAGGATTGTTCAAGTAATAAGTCGAGGAGTATTAGGAAGTGCTTATTATAAAATTCTCGATTCTTCATACTCACTTCTTTAACTGTTGCCTTGTCAATAATTGTTTGGTCATCTTCGTAATCAGGATAGATATTAAAGTTGTTTCTAACCTGGATAGAAATTGAATTTGAGGAATCTTAAAGGAACTTTAATGAGCGATTGCTTTATATTGAATTTTATTGAATTGGATTGGATACAGTTAAATGATTTTAATTATAGTTGATCAAGTTTGATGTTCAATTTATCAAAGAGGTTTTCTTAGAATTGTTTTCTAGTCTCAAGATGATACAAATCTTTAAAAATTAAGTCAATTTAAAAAGAATAGAAGAATAAAGCTATTCTTCACCAAAAGCTGAGTTCTGCCAATAATTCTTCATGCAAATCGTCAAATGTTGATGCCTCAAAACAGCCAATGGATTACAAACTCGTAACCTGAAAGTTCAACTAGTAACGTCACGAACCAAATTGAAGGTAAGTGGAAAAAAATTCAACCCTAAAACATGAAATCAAACTCATAATCATTTGCTTAACGCTTTTGAAAATTTGAATAATTGCCGAACATAAATGCCGTGAATTTAACCAGGCTTGAACAAATATGTTAATGTCCTGTAAAAAGAATTCAAAATTATGAATAATTAATAATATTTGAATAAGAAATGCTAGACACAAAAAAGTACATAGATATAATAATCTTTTTTATTATTTTTTTCTCTTTTTTTTCTTTCATTTTTTTTTTAATTTTTCGCTATACACATAATAAACTGGATTAAGGACAATGAATAATTTCTTACTGTGTTATATGATTTTTTTTCAATACAATTCTCTTTTTAATTGAAAAATGAAATTCTCCCAAT